GTTGTGGGTCAACTGTCAATGCAGTGAGTATGAATTCTGTCACTGGTGTGCTGTTTCCCATGTAATCACAAGAAGACTGTTGAAGAACACTTCAATCAATTTTCCTTTGCTTCCCAAAGATTTGTAATGTAGCCTTAGATCAGAGTCAATTTTCAACTTTCCAGTGAAGAAAAGAGAAATTGGAAGATTTATGATAAAGCACTCAAGTAGTAGAATAATATTCAGTCTGCATACATAATGTTTTCTTCTGAATTACAACTAGATTGTCATACATGGAGAATTAAGTACTATGCAATGAAATAGCTAGGATTAGGTATTTTATGGAGTTCACTAGGCATCTGGAGGGCTTGAGAAGCTTCAGTAAAGAATTAGCAAGCTGACTGTGGAAAGGTTCTTATCCCTTCCAGTTGTGTATATTGCTTGGGTTGTTCACACTGGATCTGCCTGCTCTGTGACTTGTAGAAGCTGATCTTTGGAGGGGCTCCTTATTTCTTGAGCTGATCAAATGAATTCTGAATAGCCAAAGCCACATTGACTCTCATGTCATAGTAGGCTCAACACTGTCAGCCATATTCCTGTGTGCCTTTCACATTCCTCGTTGATATAATTAACTCTACGGAGAAGTTGTTTTTCATTCCATAAAATAGTTGGCCCTGTGGGCTACATTCTAAGAAGTATTTTTATGAAAATATTTGACTGAAGATTTACTTGTGAGTAAATATAGTACCCTTTTCAGTGTTGGTTTTGTCATGTCAGTGCCACCCATCTTTTCATTGTTAGTCTTACTTGCTTTTTGTACCACTCATTACTAAAACCTCAGTTTAAAACAAGCCTTTTACTGCTTTATAAATATAACCCTTGTCTGGTTTAATCTCCAAATACCTTATCTTCTAGGTCCAATATTTATTCCTCACTGAACTTGTTATGAACTCCTAAAGCATACTCTCACAAGCAACATAGTTTTCTTTTTGATGATCAAACTTACTTGTTTTCGTACAGCTCAATAGCATCTATCACATTTTAAAATATCCATAATTTTCAAGCTTCTGATTGCAAGTGTTTGAAGGTTACACTCACATACTTTTGCTCTTCTGAAGAAATTCAGATGTTTTCCTCCAAGCTTCAGTAACTCTACAGCTTTCTCTGTTTCTGCAGACAATAATGTTTCCTTCAACTCTCTTTGGAATAATG